TTTTTTAATTAAGTCCTGGAACTACAGGCATGGGCGCCCATACTCGGCTAGACAGTGTATTCTTTTTTGATGGTTTATTTTTTATATGTGTGTGTAAGTGCTTGCATGGATGTAGATGTGACATGTACATGCTTAGTGCTTGCCAGGCCAGAAGAGTGAGTCATCCAATCCCCTGGATCTGGAGTTGCAGACTGCCGTGAGCTGATGTGGGTCCTCTATCAGAACTGCAAGTACTCGAACCTGCGGAGCCGTCTCTGCACAGTAGATTCTTGGCCTGGGAACTGAGGGCACAGAAGAATCTGAGCAACTTTTCCCTGGCCCAGCATGATACATGCAAAGCACTCGGCACTGTGCTTCCGAGTAACCAGCGTTCAATCCGAGTACATCTCTCTTTTTCTTTCTAGGGAAGGTGGGAACGGATTCCAAAGGAAGTAACGTTTGCGCTAAGTTTACAGGCGTGAAATCTGGCTTAGAAAGGAGAAACTAACGTTTGTAGCAGAACTACTAAGAATAGTCAGCCTCTCTGGGCTTCCCAGAATGAAAGGTTTCCCAGGCAAACAGAACAGCGCAGGAGAGAGAGAGGCAGAGGCTAAGACTGCCTGTGGTGCATCCCGGAAGCATCCTCTTCTTCAAGATGTGGCAGAGAAACCAGTACATCCACGGGGAGGCTAATGGCGGAGGCCTGGGCAGGGTTTGGTGTCCAGTTAGCCTTGCAGAACGGCAGGCACACCACCTCAACACAGAGGGATCCTCACCACGCTGCCTGGGTATCAGTTACATGGCTCTAACTTCCTATCTAATTCCCAGGACTACAACAGTGTGATTCCCAAAACATGGACCATGCTGCATAATTTATGGCCTCACTTTGTCGCTTTGTAATTAACTCTGCAGAGAAGCTGAGGAGGAGGGGCCGTTGCTGGTGTGACTCCCAGTTTATATAACTCACTGTGCTGGAGAGTATCACCGATGTCTCGAAAGCTTCCCTTTCCTGCCCACGCACTTTCAGATTACGGCTGGAAGTGAGCTCGCGGAGCGCACAACTGGACAAATGAAAAGTGGAAGAGCACGTGAACTGACTGACCACACAGCACCTCCTGAATTCCCGGGGCATCTGTATCGTGCGCTCCGAATTTTAAATATCTGTTATGTGTTGTTGCAGGGTAGAGACCCAAAGGCCACGCAGCATGAACTGGGAATATGGATTAAGCTGGCGACTACCTCAAGAGAAACACTTCTCACAGAGCAGCCTGGACTGTATGTTACAATTTTTTAAGGCCAAGAATACAGAAAAACTATATCTTGGTTGGCCATTGCAGGGAGAAGTAAAGCAAGCAAGCAAGCAAGCAGTTTGACAGAAGCCAGAAAGAAAAAAAAAAAAATTGCAGTTAGCTTGACCTAAGTTTCTAGAACAGGGTGGGTCAGGGGAGGGGGAAGACAGTCAGTTTCATGGTAAACCAAAGATGGCTCCTGCTGGGACAAGATGAAGGACACTCTAACCTGCCTCAGTATAACCTGAACTTTTCCCTAGGTGGTCTGATGATGTAAACAGGATATTTGTCAAGTGTGTACTGTGCCCTGGCACTCTTCTTATTGCCCATTTTCCTATGCCAGGTGCTCTAGGTTCAGAGCGGAGAATAAATCAGATTTGGTCTCAGCTCTCTGCAGCTTCTAGTCCCTCAAGAATTCCTTGTAGCAGCTGTTCAAACCTGAAACTGTCAGCTGGACATTGTGGCACATGACTTTGATCCCAGCACTAGGGAGGCAAGGGCAGGGGGGTCTCTATGAGTTCAAGGCCAGCCTGGTCTACAAAGTGAATTCCAGGACAGCCAGGGCTACACAGAGAAACCCTGTCTCTATGACAAAATAAAAATTAGAAGAGAGAGGGGGGAGCGAGAAAAAAAAATCTTAAAATTGTCAGGAGAGGGAAATGAGAACTGGGTGGGAGCAGCCAAATTAGCCCAAAGATGGCTTACCATTAGGCCTGTTGCCTGTGGTTCTTAGTACCTCCAGGGAGTGAAGAGACTGTCTTAACGCTAATTTCTTTAAAGCAGAAGAAAAGCAAATAGGCTAACAACGAATCCAACGTGCATATATTTATATTTATGCCACTGCAGTCATATGAGCGCACTCGCATGTTTGTGGCAAGCACACATGTGTGCGTGCACACTTGTGTGGAGGCTAGAGGCCAGCCTCTGACGGTGTTCCTTAGGAGCTGGCTGCCTTGATTTTTAGAGGCAGATTCTCTCCTGGGACCTGGCGGAGAGCTGTGGGAGGCAGAGCAGAGACCGGGGAGCCTGCTTCTGTCTTCCCGGCTGGGGTTTGGGTGGGCGCTGCTCTGCCTGACTTGTCACGTAGCTGCTGTGGAGCCAGCACAGGTCCTCACGCTTACATGTTAGCATTGCACTAGCCGGGCCGTTTTCTCAGCCCAACTCAGTCACCTTTGCACACACTTGTGGTGGAGGAAGGGGCCGTGAAGACCCGAGAATGCAGGGCACACAGAGATCGTGACAGAGTACAGTGATGGCGCGTGTCCGTAACCCAGCTTTCCAGAGGCTGAGGCTGGAGCACCATGAGTTTGAGGCCAGCCTGAGCTACACAGCAAGAGCCTGTCTCAAAAAGATAATACTTACTTGTCAGGAGGTCTAAAAGAAGGGACTTGGGGCAGGCGTGATCGAAATATATCAGAAACAGGTACAAAATTGTTAGAAACAAACAAAACGTTTGAAAAATATCAGACCACAGTCCTAGTTAACCCCACATCACATTGTTGACACGGAACAACAGAGAGGCACAATTCAGCTGACAAAAGCTTCACAGATTCTGCAGTTATAACACAGATTTTTCCCGAATCGAAAATACAACCGAAGCCAGGAGAGAGAGTCCAGACTCAGGAGATGGAGACAGAGGATCGAGGCCCCTTTCATAGGACTTTTCACCAAAAGACTGAAGCAGACAGCTTGTCTAACACAGATACTTGGCATTTGTTCTATATCAGACACCCAGCATATTTCTGGTCTCAGCATCTCGTAGAAAGAAGTATGATTGTGCATACTATGCAACTTAAAATCCACCCCTTCAGTTCCCTCTCGCTGTGCCAGGAGCTGAAAATATGAAAACAAAGTAGACACAGCAGGCGTTGTCCTTGAGGACTTCATGGTCAAAGTCACCATCCGCTGAGAAGGAGCAGCCCGCTGGGAAGTCATCGGCCCTACGATGACTCTAGCTCATCAGAACGCAAGCCTGACAATTCCTTACTGAGGCTAGCGCACTGTAAACAGTGCAGTGATCATTACGAAAGAAGGATGTTATTAGTGTTAAGACAGCATTAATTATACTCACCATGTCTCAACTTTTTGTCTACCTCACTGGTGCCCAGAACAGCAGTTCTTGGTGGGAGTTTTTCGTGTGTGTGCATGTAAACACACACACACACACACACACACACACACACACACACACACACACA